GAGTTGTATTTTCGTCAGAGCAATCTGGTTTTACTCAATGTAGCAGACTTTTAGCAGTACTCCGCTTGAGAATAATTGAACTGGTGCTTTCATAGCGTATAATTACTTCCGCATGTTTCTTTGTGGTTAGCAAATTTTTTAATGTTCCATCAGGCTTTCACTGTAAGAAAACGTCCAGAAATGGGAGTTTATATTCAACTTCTTTTTCGAGTTTAAATTTAATTTCCGGAAAGACTGAATTGATGGTCTTGTAGAGCGTTTTCAGTTGGTTCCTTTTGACGACAACAAGTGTGTTGTCTCCATATCTTACCCACAACTTAGGGTTAACTAGTAGAAGGGCTGCTGATTCCAGTATTTATATCATGACCTCGGAAAGAAAGCCAAGTAAAGATGATGCCATTGTAGCTCCTTTAAGCTTTTGGTAATATTTGCGGTCAAACAAAAAATTCGTTTCTAATAAAAGGTCTGTAGATTCAAGAAAGGCATCTGCGAGAACATCTGTGTCTTAGAACTTTAGGAGTTCACCTGCGCACTGCCTTTCTAAATCTAATAGTTTTTATATAGACAGAGATACGTCATCGAAGGAGATCATTACCTCATAAGCAAAAACTTGCGATTCCTCCGTTTGCCTAGAAACTTTATGTAGTTCCTAATGGAAATTTCTCAATCCCCTGTATGTGGAAGGAGCTGGTATAAAAGCCGCTTAGACATTTTGTAACTTGGTGCACAAGTTCATGATATAATCGATCGAAGTGGGACTTCAGTTTTGTGAACTTTAGGCAGACCGCAGATCTTGGAAGTGGTTGAGTCTGTTTGGCTCGTGGATTCTACACCATCTCCCGAAAGTCGCTTTGTCCCTGTAAGACGCCTCTCGGTAGTGTGCGTGGAAAGAGGCTTATAGGTTGAACAGTATCTTCTCATTGTTGTCTGATTTATTCATTTCGTAGTTAAAATTCTGATGTCCGCAAAAAGATTTATAATGCTTTTCTTAGTCTTCTGACCCTCTAATGCCCTCTTTTATCCACGTGATAGTACTGAAAAGTAACTGCGATATTTCGAAGCCTGCACGATTCTATTTCGGATTCTAGACCGTTCATCTTTCGTGAGGTTTGCTAGTGATGTAATAAAATCTAAGTTTGCAAGGAATTCTAAGTAATTTGTACCAGAATGACTGTATTTCATTCGTTTGGAAAACACATTCTACTCCATCGTCTTAAGGACTCTTGAGAACAGACTCATGATGTTAGCTGGTGATTTCTCGCTTTTACAAGGCGGCTAAGAAGTGGTTATCCATTTTATGTCTAACAGACTCTCTTCCCTCTGTCGTCTGACTTCTGATGTAAAGTTGGTCGTTTTGTTTAGAGACTATCACGACAAAATCGCGTTTGTTTTTCCTCCTTTCTTTCCTAGAGATCTTCATACACAGTTAGCAGTTAGATAGACCGTGCGTGGGCACCGGGGTGTAATTGCGTGAGTGTTTCCACAGAAGGAACCATTAAAGTCGATCGGGCCACTGTGTCGCATGTTGCAAATTTTTACGCGGTGTCTTTTTTCAATATCAATTATCTCTTGCCTCATCTTTAAACCTTAGAATCTCGATTATTGGCACAGAAACCTGA